TGTTTTAAGAAAAGTGTAAAAAGTAATTTGTAAATAGTAATAATGTAATAATAATTAAAATGTGACTGTATTTTACAAAATACTAGTCCACTAAAACACAGCTAAGACAGGTAAAGGCTAAAGGCCAGTTTTATATAATTTGATACTGTAACATGAGTGCACATGCACCACATCATTGTAACTTCTGTATTATTAGTCAGGAATGGCTGAAAGGTCAATATAATAAAAAAAATATATATATATAAATGTATAATGTTATGAGATTTAAGGTATTTAGTCTAAACATGTGTGTTTTCAGTGTTACAGTTTGTAGTCATTCTAGGCAAAATATATATTTATTTTGTAATGTTTTTATGATGGCTATGAGAACAGTCAAATCAACCAAACCTGTACAGAGATTTGTTAGTGAAAATAACAGATAAAATATAAAGTTTTTCTGAAGAAACGTTTAATAACTATCTGGATATTATAAAGATTTTTCATGTGAAATTTCAAAATTTTTTGATACATAAAAGTATTTAAAATTAAAATTACTTTGCACGTTGGATAAGCAACATGCAAAAAAAAAACCATTGCTTAACAAACCTTAATAAAAACTGAAATTTTGCGTATGAAAGCCTTGTAATGTTTACTGATGATTGCCAAATTTCGTGAACATATGCTTACTAAGTTACGGGTTATATCATGAAAACTATAACAAGCACAAAATGGTAACGAGGTTGATCCCAGGGATCAAGCCCATGCTGAAAGAGTTAGTGTAAAGGTTAAGATGGTTATCTTCTTGGAACTTGATGCCAGGTAGTCCAATTGGTTTTAAAATATTGGTCTCAAAACATCAGTTACTTAAAGTTCCTGGCACAGTCAAGTCTAAGTTGCCCTTGTCTCTTAACATCCGTAGATCAGCACAATTTCACACACACACACACAGCCAGAATTTGTGGTATATTTGAAAACCTGTATAGTATCTCCAAGAAAGATAACTTTGCACTTGTAGCAGCAGAATTAGCATCATATATATTGGAAAATATTGTGATGATAACTGGTTATTGAAATTAATATTGAAAAAGAGAATTATTTTTACCTTATTTTGATTTTATTACTATTTCATATTACTATTCATATAAAATTTAGTACAAAGAAAGATCTTATTATGTTA